GACAATGCTTTTGCCACTACCACTTGACACCACACAGCTAGCTAAGTGGTCCTTTTTTAGATTTCCGTTTATAAAGCCTTATGATTTATTAAACAGAGTCTGTGTAGTTATTTTCACCAAAGAATTATATATTGACCCCTCTGTATAACGAATGTCAGTACCAAACTTGGGTAAGTTTAAGGCTGTGACCTCCTGCCTTTTCATTGACACAGACTGACCCCTGGGCTTGACCTGTTAACTCCCCAGTCATTGGCTGATAAGTGAATGGAGTACAGTTCAAACTAATTACTGAGGTCTGCTCTGAACTGCATTTGCATATGATTAATATATTCATTAATGGTCGGCATGATCACTGAGTTCAAGAGAGAGCGACAGAGTGATGGTGACTTGTGAAACTTCATCTGCTCCACTGATCTAATTTTAGCAGGTGGGCAAGGGCAATGGCAGTCACTAGCAGTGGACAGACTTAGTGTACAATTTCTGATCAGCTCTGAACCATCAGGATTTACATTGCTATAGTCACATAATGGCATTTTCTTCACACTTAATCTCCTGTGTGTGTTTTATCTATCTATCCATCTAAATATATATATCCATCTAAATATATATATATCATATATATATATATCTATATATATATATATATATATATATATATATATATATATATATATTGTACCAGCACAACACACACTAACACACCACCACCACATCAGTGTTACTGCAGTGCTGAGAATGATCCACCACCCAACCAGTACCTGCTCTGTGAGGGTCCATGGAGGTCCTGAACACTAAAGATCAGGGTAAAAGGGGGCTAACAAAGTATGCAGAGAAACAGATGGACTACAGTCTGTAATTGTAGAACTACAAAGTGCACCTATATAGTAAGTGGAGCTGATTAAATGGACAATGAGCGTAGAATCAAGGAGGTGGTCATAATGTTATGCCTGATCAGTGTATATATATCAAATTATGGGGGGGGCTGAATTAATGCCAAACAGTGCTGTATTTGGAGAGTGTTAACAGGTTAGGTTACTTTTATTGCTGTCATTACATCAGACAGAACAAGTAGATTTCTAAAAATTTCCCACTTGAGATAAATTAGTGTGGTAAAGTTTTCATCATGTTCTTAGGCACCTAAGCACATTGTTTAAAACCATTTATCTTTACAATAAATGTGTACTTGCTTGTAAAAGCCCCATGTATCACTAAATGAAACATTAATATTAAAATACATACCCTTAATTAACATTAAGTAACATTAATAAGCATTACATTAGTAAAACCATTTTCAAATCTTATGTTCTGGCAACTCACTATTATTTGCAGTTATAATTAAGTACCTGGTTCAATCAATGATTCATTATATTAATATAAGTGTGCGGGATAGAATTTAACAAATACATGTGATATCTAGAGGTGTCCAGAAGACACCTGGAACCAAACTTTGTTCTTCAAACAAGCTCAGAAGATTACTTTTTTCAAAATAAATGTTTGTTACTTCTTACTGAATGTAGGTTTATTTGCATTAATTCTAATGACACATTGTGATACATTGTGCTTTCAAGCAAAAACACATTCATTGCTAAGATAAATGGTTTTAGACAATGGGCTTAGGTGCCTAAGATGCTTGCATAGTACTGTGTTTTATATATGAGGGAAGCAGGCAGTCTGCTGGACATAATGCAAACTTTACCTCACAAATGTATCTCAAATGGGAAATTTCTAGATATCTAATCGTTCTGTCTGACTTAATGAGAGCAGTTAAAGTAACCTGTTAACACTCTTTCAAATCCACCATTGTTTGACAATAATTCAGCCCCCAGGGCCTGAAGAATACTTCAATTATTAATATGAAATATTAGGTCAATATTTTAAAAGAAACTAACATTCATATGAATACATTCCACCAGACGTGCTATTGATCCCATAGAGCTGCAAGCGGTCCTCATAAACATCCCACAGCCTCACACACTCCAATTCCACATTTAATGGCTTTTCTAATACCCTCCACCAGCTTGCTTTAGTCTGACATCAGGAACTCATAAGTGTTCCCCTGACCTCATTATGAGTAGTATAAAAAGGAGGAAGCGGTAGAAGTGCATCCCCTTAGGAAATAATAACAATAAGACCACTGTCCTCAGAAGCAGTGGGGAGTGTTTTGAAGCCTGGCTTTGCTGTGGCATACCGGACGTTAATGACTGTTATTTTCCACTTTTATACACATACACATGCACTCGTACAATTTACAGCTAGATTCCCAAGGTTACTCTTATGCATTGTGTTATGTTTCTTCTATGCTGTAGAGAAATGCACTTTTTCTGTAAATTCCACAGAGCCATCTTTTACTAATTGGCCACTCAGAGTGAACGCATGTTAAGTCAGGTTTTGTCAGCTTGTATCTGAAGTCCATAGTGATTTGCATAAGCCTGCTGTTTGCCATAAGCCTGCTGTAATGTTCCCCTCAAGCCTCAGATGAGCATGAGTGCTAAACAGATGTTTCATTATAGGCTTTTGTGCTGTTGCTTGAAGTGCAGCGTGACCGCTCGCACAACCTGTGACTGCTGCTGAACCGAACCACATCTCACCACAGCTAAACCTGTTAGAGCAACTTCTGTTCTCTCTATAGCACTTTCTCTCTTTCTCCCTCATGTACACAGTTTTCATAGTTGCGTTCTCTTCATCAAGCTTCCCTCAGCAGGGCCAGCTCTGTTAAAAGCCACAGAGAGCCTGCTTTATCACCCGCTAAGAGCTAAATGCTCTGGCTAATAATGACTGCAACTAACTCTCATATGTAACGGATCCTATGAGGCCAACAGAGACTCATCATTAAGGTCTACTGCAGGCACACACTGACTCAGGACTGAGTGTAGATATCTTCCTTACTCGCTCGGAGCCTTTCATTCAGCTCCATGCCGGCCAGTTATGTGAGCCATAAGGAAGATAAATGGGGCATCATTTTCCAATGTAATATGACAGAGGTGCTTTCGATGGCTCACTGAATCCCTTTGACTCTGTATTAACCTTGGGATGAGAAAGAAACCCGTCCCCGGTGCGATCCACTGCTTGATCCCCTAATCGCCCCACCACAGACAGACTGATTTCAGCTAATGGTGGGAAATGGTCGGTTTGAAGGCTGGTGCTATGAAGTTAGCAATTAGATTTTTTAAGCTTTGTTTTTTTTTCTTCCTTTGTTTCATTTATAATTTAATATTCCATTCGATTATAACCAATGATCAAAAATCTACTTTAAGTAGGCTAATCTTTTGTTGGCCTCTACAACAGGCTACCATTAGCCAGCTAACAAAGAAGTCTAGAAATTTCACCCAAGATTCAACATATATATTTAAATGATAAGCTTATTAAGGGGAAATTCCACCAATTTTCCAAAATTTCTCCATTATTCAAACATTGAAACAAAGTCATTCACAAATGTACATAAATATACAAATAGATATATTAATTAGTAATATTTATTTACTGTCTAAACAACCAGTGAACCTACATGTCTTCTGAGTTCTTCCACTATTTAGGCCTCTATCACACAATGCTACCAAGCATGGAGGGTGAAGATTAAAATGTCCCTCCTCTGAGATGTGAGTCCAGCCACTGCATCTTCTCAAGCTGCTGTTAACACATTGCCATTGGACAGCTCAACACGCTTGGAGGAGAACCTTAATTTGCCATTCTGTTATGTCAGCTAACAGACACCCTCATTGGCTAGCATTTCGCTGTGATGGGTAAGATGCCAAGACCGATGGCAGCCATGTTCACTCCTATCAACATTACTGTGAACAATTCTGTCTCTGTACGTTTCTCTAGAATGCCACATTTCACATCAATTTCTCTGAATGACTTTGTTTACATTTTTAAATTTTAATTATGCAGAAATTACAATCAGAATTTTCCCGTTGGAAGGCATTATTTGCGAAACACTGTTTCAGAGAACATTAATATTAGTTATTAACTACCTTTTAGTTTGTCATCAAGCTTTGGTAGCCACAAGCCTGCTGTCTGTGTGCATCATGGGAATTGTAGTTATTGCAAACTAAATGCATTAAAGCGAGCTGTCTCACCTTAGGAAGGACAACCTGCGAACCGAACTCAAAAGAGAGAGAGCTTGTACCAAATATACATTTCTCTCTCTCTCTCTCTCTCTCTCTCTCTCTCTCTCTCTCTCTCTCTCTCTCTCTCTCTCTCTTTCTATCACATACAGCCAGTAAAGGTGATGTCTTTGCTGGTGATGAGGACCAGCAGCGTCTCCAACGTTACATATTTTACTTTCGGATGACGTCACGGGGGTGTGAGCCGAAGCAGGACTGGCAGGTTGTTATCCAGGGGGGAAGGGGGCTAAGTGGGGGAAGCTGAGCGCGCGCGCGAGCGAGCGAGCGGTGGAGAGAGAGAGAGAGAGAGAGAGAGAGAGAGGGAGGGAGAGAGAGAGAGAGAGAGAGAGAGAGAGAGAGAGAGAGAGAGAGCATCATCGCGCGCATGCAGGGCTGAGAGCACTGCGCACTCACTCTGTCCGCGCGCGATGGCAGCGGCGCGCGCCTGAAAGTGGCGTTTCATCTCGCCGTCTCTGCCCGGTTACGCGTAACGCTGGCCAAGTGTCCACTGTCGTTCGACTGACGTGACGGCTCGCTCGCTCGGACGGCTGGGTGCTTCATGTCGCGCGCTCCTCTCACCTTTGCTTCCCATCCGCCTGACGACGACGACGAAGATAAGAGTAACGATAATGTAGAGAAAGTGCGCGCTCGTGTGCGCAGGAGACGCGGACGCTGTCATCTCGCAGCCGAGATCATGTTCCCGCTGCTCCTCGACTTCTTCTCCACCGGAGTACGCAGCGAGGTCTCGTGAACTTTTCAGCTGAAGGAGGCAGCTTTTTTTTTGCTTTATTGTTTCTCTTTTTCTTTTTCTTTTTCTTTTTTTTTTCTTTTTGCTTCCGTCAGCCCACGTTGACAGCCCCCCGTCCCTCACCTAAGCACGAGACGCGCGTCCTTGCTCTCGTGCGTGCGCGCGTGGTGCGCGCGGATCCGGAGCTCTCGCGGATGCGCGAGCGTAGCATGTTCGCGTTCAGGCCGTGTGGAGTAAGAGCGCTGAGGTGAAGGTTGGAAAGGAGAGCGAGCGTCGACATTTGGGGAGTCCAACGTCAATGGGAGGAGGACTGATCTGGAATCGCTGTCGAGAAATATGTGGATAAAACGGTGTATAGCGCGCAGGTAAGACGTTCAGACGCTGCTTTTGGCGTTGCACGTTGAAATAGACGTGATGTTTTGCAGGAGAGCGTGCAGATATTACGGGGCTGGTAGATCTCCTTCAGAAAGAACTGTGCAATGGAAATAGTTGCACTGTTTGAGCGTTTAAATCCTCTCTCCGGCTCACTTGGGCACAATCTATTCGTATATTCCCGCTAAACTGACCTAATAAACTCTCAGAGCTTTTGTATTTTTATCTTCAGCTCTGAACAATTTTGGCTGCTCTGTAAGGACGCACATAACGCAATTAAGAAACAAGTTTTTCTTGATTATTTGACGCTCGCTAGGGGGCGCCAAACAACCGCGCTGCGATGCGAGGCAACTTCACATCAGTTCTAGCAATTAGGTCGACTACCTGCTGCCTAACACACATATACAGACAGACACACACACACACACACACACACACACACACACACACACACACACACGCACTCGCACGCCCACGCACACCCCATGCAATTAACTCTATGCCCCGTACAGTCTTTTTAAGAATATTACGTAATCGACTTGGTTCATCAAAAGACAGGGCTATGGAAATGACATTTAATTATAAGGTTGGAGCTTTATGTGGGCTGCTGGTGGAAAGTCATGTTTGAGCGAGGGAGGGTAAAGCCCAACAAAGATGCAGATGAATCCAGGTGTATCACCCTCAAGAAACGTCGGAAGTAAACATGGCTTTCACCTCCTAGGAGAGTTTACACCACAAAAATAATAGCTTTCATAAATCCACTCAGTTGATTTACTTTGGAGCACTTTGTGTTCCTTAAACCTGATTTGCCCAGTGCAGTCACTGCTTACCAGCTGCAAATGGAGAAGGAGCTTAGTTTAAAATCTCTAAAAGAGAAAGAAGACTTTTGGATTGTTGTTTCTGCCAGTGTTTTCCAGTCCAGTCCTTGGGAACATCAGGATACTTCTTATTCTAGCTTTCAGCACAACCGCTGTGGGTATTCCATGTTCTAGACTTCTGTGTTCTGGGGTTGAGATCTGTGAGAGGGCAAAAATGTGGACTGTCAGATGGACTGGATTGGGAATTGCTGGCTTAAACTCTTGTTAAATAAATACCAGATGATTCTTGACTTCTGTGAATTAGAATTGGTGTAGACCATTGAAATTTTGTTGAGATTTTTAAAAAAGTTTTTTAAAGGTTTTTCATACTTGTACATCTTATTTGTACCAAAGCATCATCCATTGAAATGTTCTTTAAGGAAGTAAAAGTGGTTCTTTTGTGGTATCACGCTAAGAAATGCCCTTTTAGCACCTTTAGTGTGTTGGCAATCAGGTGGCCATCGTTCTTCTAGAGTGCACAATCATCCTTGATGAATTTACTCCTACAAATTGAATGTTCAGTTAAATATCATGCAATTGAAAAGAGATTCCATGGATTTTTCAATTTTTCTAACATAATCTTTGAAATGCAAACAATATCATTGAAAGTGGTTTGATGTTAAATAGCTCACTGTAGAGAAACTCACTGACTCATTCACTTTACAGTGGTGGTGATAGGAATCAGAGGTTATGATGTCTACCATGCAAATGCAGCCATTTTATTGACTATCCAAAATGACTGGTAAATCTACATATAGTCAAATCTCAAAATAGTCTATATAAATAGGTTTTCTTTGGGGACTGTTTTGCCTTAGAACCCCCTGTATCTATCTGTCTGCCATAAGTAGATTAAAAATCTGTTTTATGCCAAGACCTTATCATAAAATAATGTCTTAAATATCAGGCATCACATTCATATTTGTTTCAGATATTTACTTTCTCTGATGTTGCTTTTAGAGGCATTACATGTTCAGTCCTCTGATTCCTATCAGCAGTGCAGTGAACAAGTCTAAATTTCTCTAGAATGTAGTGTTTCACATCAATCCACTCTGACTTTGCTTACTTCTAAATGCTTGAATTATACAGAAATAGTCAAAAATTGGTGGAATTCCCCTTTATGTCTTCAGGGGCAAGTAGCTGCTGTAATTATACTATGAGGATGTTCCAGAAAGCCTGTTCAGAGCCCTTAATGAATTTTCTTTTCAGAATAAGTAGAGATAGGAGAATGCTTTTTGTGGAGCTGTGGAGGCTGATCTTATCGAGCAATGCACAGTTCATTTCAGACTAGGCACCATTAGACTGATATGAAACATGGCCAAGAAATATCAGTTAGTTAGCCATAACCGTAGACCTACTGGTCTGAATTTAGTCGTGAAATATATGTGATGCATTTTCATGATGGTGTTCAAAACCCAGTGCACTCTGAAGGAAGGTAGATTGACCTAGAGGCAAAGAAAGCGCATAAAAATTTAAAGACGCTTCAAAAGGCTGTTACATAACATGTATTCTCACTGCTACAACTTATGTACACTCTCATCACTTCATAAGGCTAATATGTCAAATCAAATGAAATTAGGCATCTAATTATTTAATTATATAAACCCTAAGGTTATGAAAATGTATTGAATAAGGTAGTCAATGAGTTAGTGGCCTTGCCTAGTACTCAAAGACAGGGTGAAGGCCTTCCTGTCAGCCGTGTTTTAATTAAAAGCATTGTCATGTGGCCATAATGGTCTTTCATGGCCTTGTCAATAAATCATGTTAATCAGAAGGGAAGGGAAAGAAAATCCTTCCTGCATGAAAAGCCTGTTTTCACTCTACAGTCTTATTCGTCAGGATATGAAAGTCAAAATCTGATTCTGAAGAGGTGAACCTCAATGGGACTACCTGGATAAATAAAGCAAATAAATAATAAAACAGAAATGCTGTATCTCAAAGCTCCAGTTCTCAGGAGAACCTTCTGCTAAGAATGAGTTCCCTCCCATATCTTCTTATAAAAAAGGAAAGGAGAAAAGAAAAAAAAAAAGCCAGGGTGGAAATGGGCTTTGATACAGCAGGCAGGGGAGGACCTCGCTGTTAAAGCTCACTGAACAGAGTTATTATGGGCTCGTAAAGTGAACAGCAATACAGGAGAGACTGCTGGCCTAACATTGTCCCACAAAACACAGGACAAGCAGGAGAATTTAGACCATTTAGAGCCACTCCGTTATCTAATGCATTTCGTCATGGTTGAGTTCAGTAATAAAGGTTACAAAATTATGATTTTAAGCAGGAACAGTCCGGTAGAAGTCTTAGAAGTGTCAACAGACCTACAAGTACTTGTCTAATCCAGTTCACATTCAATGTAATTAGAGTTGTCACTATTGATTATATCAATAATCGAGTACTGTTTGAGTTTTTAAAAAAGGCCAATTATATTATATTAAGCATTACTGCAAATAGATGAGCTAGGAAGCCTTTAAAAAGAAAAGTAATTCAGTTTTCAGGAGATATTTCTAAGACATTATATTGGACATAAGATAATCCATTTGCATAAGGGAGGAGAAAGTCAAAGGAAAATGCATGGAGTTTCCAGAGCTGGAGTGCAGAAAATTACTGATATTGGGAAAATTGGACTCTTAATAAGACCACCAAAACCGTCAGATAAACAGTACTTAAAGCTTTCATCTTTGAGAGAGAGGAAAAAATCAAGCTCCACTCTTGCTTCAGATCTGAAAAAGTCCAGAGATGTTTTTGTCCATCCTTCCACTTTGAGAAGACAACTTGATGATATAAGACTGAAAGGATGTGTAGCTGTCAAAGAAGCCATTACTGAGAAAAGGAAAAAGTTGAAAATCACCCACCAAATGACCCATGAGAAGCAGAAAATGCAACTAACTTCCAAGACTGAACTTGCATTTTTTTTAGTTTTTAATCAAGTGATCATGACAGCACTAAATGTACTTAATACCTGGTTTAATTGCTCAATTTCTTTTTACATAGTCAGTTATTACTACAGTGAATAACTTGTGGTGCACTCTGTGAAGCATTTTCAGTGGATTATCTCTATTGATTGTAAAATGGGGTTAAATCTGTATTTAAGGAGCCAGTTCATGGTTAGCTGTGTCCTCCTACCAAAGAATTTATGTCAGAATCTAAAATAAAACTGCGTACCTAACATTTATCATGTCTTAAAATCAGCTACATCAACAGCTGCACTGCTATCAATGACTAAAATTGATTATATGAGATAAAGGGCCCATATCATAGAAAACCTTCCATGCTTTTGTGAAGTTTGACATATCAGGTAAACAAGCTTCAGAATGTGCCATTCATTCTCCAATCCATTTGATCCATATATGGAACAGATAGAGCTGCATAAATGTCAATGTTTGTGTGTGTGTATATATATATATATATATATATTATATATATAATATATATATATATATATATATACATACATACATATATATACATATATATATATATATATATATATACACATTCAACAAATGTGTTTGTATTTGGCATGAGATACTTGTATGATGCAGAGTCAGAAATAACAAGATGACCTATGCTGACACGTTTTGACATTCAGTTAACGTCTTATAAAGATTTATGAGGCTCTTATACAAACCATTATAGCAAATGTAAAAGTCTGATGTGTGGCTCCTGTAATGGCAATGCAGACGCATCTCATTAGCACAAACTCCATAGAGGGAGGTAGCATGACGCATCTGTCATTCTGTAGAGCTTTTCTGTCAGCCTCTCTCTCTCTCTCTCTCTCTCTCTCTCTCTCTCTCTCTCTGTGATGTAGCCATGTTTAACGCCAGTCGTGCTCTTCACCTCTCTGATATTTGCTGCTCTTGATGGCTTGATGTAATAGAAGGACAGTTTGAGTGTGCTCACTCTCAGTTAAAACGTGTTACGTAACGAGCCCTCAGAGGTTCAATAAGGCAGAAATGACACTCTGTACAGAAGCTAATGGAGCAGATGACATTAATGCTGAAATATCTTAATCAGAGGGGTTTGACACACCACGTCCTGATAAGAGCACAGCGCTTAATTCCACAAATGAACGTTCACTGATTTTTGTTTCCCAAATTCTTACCACTGAAAAGCATTCACTGTGACAATTATTATAACAGCATATA